TATCACATCTTCTGTAACCACTGTTTTCAAATGGCCTTCCTAGGGGATGTTGACTTCTAGCACTTTCAATATCAGAAACTTGTCTTCCCACACTTCCCTCCATATGCTATTGGGCCTGTCTTCTTTTTTTTTTTTAAGACGGAGTCTCGCTCTGTCGCCCAGGCTGGAGTGCAGTGGCGCAATCTTGGCTCACTGCAAGCTCCGCCTCCCGGGTTCACGCCATTCTCCTGCCTCAGCCTCCGGAGTAGCTGGGACTACAGGTGCACGCCACTATGCCCAGCTAATTTTTTTGTACTTTTAGTTGAGATGGGGTTTCACTGTATTAGCCAGGATGGTCTGGATCTCCTGACCTCGTGATCCACCCGCCTCAGCTTCCCAAAGTGCTGGGATTACAGGTGTGAGCCACCGCACCCGGCTGGGCCTGTCTTGTAGGGACTGAACTAGGTGTGCATTCCAGGGTCAGAGCTGCCTCTTATGGCAAGAGCCTGAAATGCTGAGGCCTCCTGGGCCCACATGGAGGGCAGCAGCTCAAGAGGACAGAGAGAGGTGGAAAGAGCAGGAAGGAGGCTTTGCCAAGTGGAACAAGGGAGAAAGCTGGGAATCCTCTAGACATTGAGATATCCAATAAGCCTGTCAACTTAGCCCTGCCATCCCTGCTGCTGTCCTCGGGATAGAAGAGGAGAGATGGCCCCTCCTTCTGCCCCACACACCAAGGGCTGTTCTTTTATGTTCTTCTCCCCCAGTAAAACTCGCCTTGGTGTTTATACCCTCATTCCATCCTTCAGAAAATACTTGCAGAGAGATGGGCCTGGCCTTCTAGAAACAGCCAGTGGAGAAGGAGAAGAAGGGTGAAGGGAGGGAGAAAGGGAGAGAGGAAAGGAGGGGGAAGGTAGGAAAAGGGAGCCACCCCCAAACTGCCCTAGTCACTTTCATATTTCCACGCCTTTCCACATGCTGTTCCGGGCCCTTCCTGCTGCCACATTTCCCTAATGTCTGTTTAGAAAACTCCTGATCTTCTTTCAGGTGTCTCCTCTGCTGTGGAGGTGTTTCTGAATGTTCCCTCCACCCCCTAGCACTAACAATCCCTTTTCTGCACCCTCACAGGGCCTGGGCCATGGCCTTCTAGAAACAGCCCTGCCCCCTCCCTCATTCTCTCTCAGAAGCTCCCTTCAATTCTGGCCTTTCTGGGTGTGATCTGCTCACCCAGGTCTGGCTGGGCATCCATGGACTGGAATGAGCCCAGCACCTGCCTGTCTGCTTGCATTCAATTCAACAGTTAAGCACCTTTCATGGGGAACCCATATACTGAGCACAGCAGAGGCACCAAGGTGAAAAGACACGTTCTTGCTTCCAACCAAGTGTGGAGTGGAACAAACAGATTGGTACAGTTTAGTCTGGTGCATCCATGTGCAGGGCACTGTGCGAGTGTAGAGAATGGATTGTTAATGCTGGGGGGTATGGAGGGAACACTTAGGAACCACTCCACCACAGAGGGAAGGCCTGAAAGAAGACCAGGAGTTTTCTAAACGGACAGCAGGGAAATGGGGCAGCAGGATGGGCCTGGGAACAGCATGCACAGAGCATGGAGGTTTGAGAGTGGTCAAGGCAATTTGGGGGTGGCTCCCTTTTCTTATCTCTCCCCTCCTTTCCTCTCCCCCTTTCTCTCTCCTTCCTCTTTTCTCCCTCTCCACTTCCCTCACTCATTCCCAGAGGAGCTTTGCCAGAGGCTCAGGGCCAGTGCAAACCCCTCAAGGGACCCTCAAGTTTGAAGAGCGGCCCCCGTCCACACCAAGGAATAGAAGCCAGCTAATCTGTCATTTCTCCCTCCTTTTCTGGACCACTTATCACCAGATTAACACCGACCATGAACTGGTGGACCACTCACCTGCAGGGCATATTTAGATCTTAAAAGAAAGAGAATACGACGCTTCATGAAACGAATATATCTCAAAGGGTGGACTTTTAGTCACCAAGAAGAGGCCACCTGAGAGGTATTTTGAGGATGGGACTCTCTTCTCCATTGCCCCTCAAATAATAACAGGGACTGAACCAACTCAGGTACACTGAGTTGAGTGGACATATTTTTAACACACCTCATTAGGTCAAAACATCTCCAAGCCTTTTTCCTCTCAGGATGAAAAATGGAAGCTCTGGGACCTGGTGTCTCTGACCTTTGGAGTCCGTTGGCCATTGGTCATAAGGTGGAAGTGATCAGAAGGCAGATCCACTGCCCGATCCAGTTCCCAATCTGGTTCCAGGCCAGGAGCCAGGCTGGTTCCCCTATGCACTCCCAGTGTAGGAAGAGAATTCGAGGCTATGTGGGGGCCATCCTTAGCGACTCACCACACCTTCACTTTACATTTTGTCTGAGCCAATTGTACCATTCTACCCCTTCTACTGCCCCTCCTCCCAAACCTTGGTCCCTCTCAGTTCTACAGAGACCCAGGGATACCCATGGACAAAGTTTTCTGCTTTCAGCTGCAGAACCACCCAGTGATTTGGGGAATCCCTGATTGTTAACAAGCTGTGTGTGGCCAAGCCCCTGGATCAGACCAGCAGTGAGGTGATGTCCCCTTGGTCTGCACCCTCCCCCAAGCCTGCCCAGCCCCCTTTCAGGCCAGGTGATTAACAGTGCTGGCTGGACCAGTTTCCACTTCCCAGAAAAGGAGAAGTTCTCTGCACAAACCATGTTAATGGGGTTCCACCACAGCTGCCCATTGACAACCAAGAGCTTCGACAATCACTCGGTCTTCTTTTTTTTTTTTTAAAAAAAAAAAAAAGGCCAGTCATCCCAGAGACTGCCTTGATTACATCATGGGCTGTTACCCAGCCAGGCTTTTACACAGGCCTACTGGAGAACTCCCTCTGCAGCCAGCCCGGGCTGCCGCTGGGTGGCCATCAGCCATAGATCGCATCTGTAAGTCTTAGAGTTCATTATCTCCCAAATGCTGCCTTCTTTCTTAGATCATTAGAAAGAAACTTGACCTGACCTGTGAACCCTGAAATTGATCGTTGCCTTGAAATGGTCAACAGCCCATTTTCTAATCGATACATGGAATAATTTTATACATATTTAAATTATATATTAACTTTAATGCTTGTTAAATTTATCTACCACTTTCCTCCTGTACTTTTATATTCGCTCGAAGTCAGGCGGGTATATTTACCATTGGGTGGGAGGAAAAGAGGGTGGGAGGAGGATCTAGGCCAACACCAAGGGAAGGAGAAAAGGGGAGGTCCCAAGACTGAGCCTGAGGCAGTGGAGGACTGGGTCCTAGGGCTCTGTGTATGTGTGTGTGCGCGCACACACACGTGCATGCGTGTACGCATGTAAGAGGACATATGTATGTGTGCTTGTATGTCAAAGCATGTGTGTCTCTAGGAATATATATGTGTGTGAGTGTGTGTGTGTCTAGGTATGAGAAAACGATGCATGTGAGAGTGTGTGTACCTGCGCAAGAGTCTGTGTGTCTCTGGGAATATGTATGTGTGAATGTGTGCGTGTTTTCTCTCCCATGCACTCTCTCCCAGCTTGTTAAGCCATCCAGACACCTTGTCTAACCCCTACTATTGAGAATTAGAGTTTTTCCCCAAATATGCTTTAAGAAGTTATTGATGCAGGAGTTTTGTCTGAAAATGCCAGACTCTGGTCTTACAGTTATCCTGAATGTAGCTCGAAATTTCTAGTATGAAAAAGGGTCCCCAAGGTGCTAAGCTATCTGGAAAGAACGCCCAAACTGCTAATGGTCTCTAAAGCAGAGGTTCTTAACAGTGTCCATCAACCCTGAGACCCCTGTGGATCAATGAGTCCCTTGAAATCAAAGTGTGGGTGTGTGTGTGTGTGTGTGTGTGTGTGTGTCCGGGAGGGAGCGGTTTCCTCGAATTTGTTAGATTTTTCAGAAGGTTTACGACTATGGAAGAAAGAGCTGCTACAGAGTGGATGGTATATTTGTCAGGGTGAGGTGGCTTTCTCTGTTTGCCACTCCCCCACCCCCACCCCACGTTTAGACTTGCAAACACAGCCCCAGCACCCCTGTTTTGACTCACCATGGATCTCTAACCTTGTGCTCAGAACAAACACCTGATAGAGAGCCTCTCATACCCAGAGCAGAATAGTCAGCAAACAGCCTCTGAACAGGTTCCAAGTTCGCAGCCCCAGTGAGCCTGCCAGGCTGTCCTTCCTGACCCTGACCTCCCTGAATCTGGGCCCTCCCAAGGCTTGCACTTTCTGCCTGCCCCTGTGGGTGGGATGTAAATGGACACAAGCAATCCTTCTAGAAAGCAATCTTTAAAGTAGTCACACCTTTCATCCCAGTGATTTTGCTTCTAAGTGCCTATCTTAAGGAAATAATCAAACTGCAAGCAAAGGTCTGTGCATGAAGATGTTCCTCAGGCCATTAACACCAAAGAAAATCACCGGAAACAACCTGCTGTCCATCATTAGGGGAATAGCTAAATAAACACAGTGGATTCATATGAAAGATTGCTCATCAGCAATTAAGAAGCAGGTTTACATGGAGGAACCATGTGACCAAATTAAATACCAGTAATTTTAATTACTTATCCCTATTTTTAATATATATGTTTAATAGAAGTTTGTAATAACATGGGGAAAATCTTTGTAATACAATTATACAGTAAAAGCTTGATGTAGTGGAATTTCAACTTTTAATACATAGAAAAGACACAAAAAGAAAAAACACAAAATATCAATAATAATTTTCTGAAGTGGTTTTTCTCTCCTTTTCCTACATTTCTGTATTTTCCAAGTTTTTGTCATTACCATACATTAATTTGATTTTTTTAAAGCTAAGTTTAAAAAGATCTCTGCTTTCCAATCCATCCACCACAAAAGTCTCCTCTAGCTCCAGACCCCAAGCTCATGAACTCCAAATTTCTATGTTTCCCTTCTCCTCAGGAGCAGTGCAACTCACCTCTCATGGCTCGCCAAGATTTGCATTCCCTGTCAGTCCTGGTAATAAAATCAAAACAGTGCTTACCTCTTCTATTCCTTCACATGTCCACAGCCATTGTTAACTCCCAGAATCCTTCTCAAGCAATCTCTGTTAACTTATCCCCTGTTTATTCAACAACAGCCCAATCCCTCATTTACAAATAAATGTCCAGTTTAGATGAAAGAGTATAACCTGGGTTGTTTCTTCTGTGTTAAAGCAAGAAGAGGGGGTTGGGCAAGAAAGAAAAAAAGAGGAAGTGCGTGAGAAAGAGGACCAGCTTTACTTATGTGGGTTGCTCGCGACTTTCCTGGGAAGACCAAGGTCATGTAATATGCACTGCCTTGACTTTCTTCCCTCCGCCCCAGAGACTCCGTGAATCATTATCATCTATCCTTTCATCCGCCCTCCTGTCTCAAAGGAAGACGCATTCTTTTACTTTGCCAAGGTGCACCCCTCCACCTGGACTATTGATCCCATCCCTTTCCATCTCTTCCAGAACTTTGCTAGATCAATCATCCCCAAGCTCTCTAGTACTTGCCATCTCTCCCTCCCTACTTGCTCTTTCCCCTTCTGTAGAGTCACACTGCACAGATTTAAACCCTGCTCTATTGCTTAGTAGCTGGGCAGGCTACTTAAACTCTCACAGCCTCCATTTCCACTTCTGAAAACTGGAATAATAGCACCTGCTTCACACAGTTTTTAGGAAGACATGAAATACTACCTATAAAACACTTAGACTAGGGACATCAAATGGCCAATGTGAGCTGCTTTAGTTACTGTTATAATCCCAAAGCGTACTCAGTGGGCTTCCAGTTTGAAAATACCTTTCCCAGCACCTTCCCCATCTAGTGCCAAAAATCACTTTTCTCTGTCAGGGGAAATATTTTTCACACCTGGAATTTTTCAGCTTCCATCAAATCTCAATTTCTTGTTATCTGGGTGCCATAACTTCACACCGTTCAGCCCTTTCCCTGAGTAATCCTCTCCAAGCCCACAGCTCCAGCCATCATCTGGACAATGACCACTATTGGAATACTTTTTTTTTTTTTTAGCAGGGATTAAATAGATTTTTTTTAGCATGGATGAAATAGAATAGCTGCTGGAAAGGCAACAGATAGTGTCTCCCAGAGGAAGAAAAGGAGAAGAGAAAAGAAAGGGAAGAGAGGGTCCAAGGCCCACTTTACTTACTACTTTAAATATTAGGTGTAAAATTGTTCTCCACCCCCACCTCCCATCAGGGTTCTCATCTGAGAGTCCTCCCTTTAGCCTAAGGTTTGGATCCTGTTTTGTTCCCCCTCCTCCTTCCCCGTCTCCTCTTAATCCTCCTCCTCCTCTTTTTCCTCTTCGTCATATAGCTTGCACCTATGGCTCCTGTGGCATGGTAGAAAGAAAGAAAAGTAGTCAGAGGATTCCGGAGGCCTGTTCGAATCTCAGCTGTGCCACCAACTGTGGTGTGTGCTGCCTCTTATTGGCTCTGCATTGGTAAAATCCGAAAGTATTGCCAATTCCAGAGGGCTGTTGGGAATATTGTGGCCAATTGTTCATTTTCCCCGACTTGGTCTCAGTTTCTTTATCTGTGAAATGGGGGTGATTTGTAAATTCCCTATGAGTAACACTACTTTGAAAGGGTTTGGCTCTTATCCTCTGCTTTACTTAGGAAGTGACTCCTAATGAGATTTTAGAGGTCAATAAATAATACTTCTCTTCTGAGACAGATGACTCAGAAGCAGCTGAGCCCAGCAGAGGGAGAATGGGCTTCATCATTGCCAGACTGGAAGATGCAAGCCTTAGATCTGTGACAACAGGGGATTTGCTCACATTACATTCCAGAAATTCAACCTCCCCTCCCCTTCAGGAGACCACTCCCTCTGCCTGGCGTGTGGGAGGCTGCATTTTCTACTTCTCTCTCCAACGAGGAAAGTTTTGTGGGAGCACAGGAGAGTCCTAAAGTTTTCCAGTTGGGGAGGGAAGGTATCATAGTTAAGATTCAAACCAACCTCCTGAATTCCTTGCCTACTTTCCTTGCCACTGCACTGTGAAAGCCACGTGTGTGACAGTGAGAAATGCCTATTACTCCAGCAACCCCAAAAGGGCAGAGCATTCAAGGACTATTTCTGGAGGAGATTAACGTTTCGGTAAGTAAATTCTGGGAAAAGCAGGTTGCCCTCCCTACCGTAGGTGGGCCTCATTTAATCAACTGAAGACTTGAATAGAAGAGAAAGGCTGGGTAAGAGGGAACTTCAGCTGCCTGATTGTGTGAGCTGACCTTTTCCAGCCTTCAGGCTTGAACTGAAACATTGGCTCTTCATGGATCTTAAGCCTGCTGGCTTCACACTGGAACTTACACAATCTGCTCTCCTGGGTGTGTAACTTGCCAAGGGCGGATCTTGGGACTTCTCAATCTCCATAATTGCATGAGCCAATTCCTGAAAATAAATACACACGCGCACACACATACACATGCACACACACACATGCGCACACACACACATACACTTGACTGGTTCTGTTTCTTAGGAGAATGCTCACTAATACACCCACTTCAGCTAAAGTTTCCTGGTTTACAGTTTGACTCATCTGGTGATGCTAAGAGGAGGTTCTAGCCAGAGCTGCCCTGGTACTCAGCATCAGAGCATCAGAACAGGACAGCAATGAACGCTGGCCACAAAAGAATGAGAAAAAATATAGAAGGCCACCAAAAAGAGGTGCCACAGGAAAAGAGAAAAGAAAGTCATGGGGCTTTCTGTGGGGAGCACAGAAAAGGTGCACTTTGCCCCTCAAGCTGGAGGAACCCATGGGTTCACAGGTCTGCTGGTAAGAAGGAAAGGGGATATCAGGGAGCAGAGAAGAGGGAATGAGAAGTCCCCTGCCTGCACTGCCTCCTGTAAGTAATGCCACTCCCTCCCCTGGGCCCAGTGTCCTCCCAGCACACTGTGCCATTGCTGCTTCTTGGCTCCTTACTCGTACATGAAATCCCCAGGGAAGGAGCCTATCTTCCTCATCTTGGCATCAGTAAGCACCCAATATTAGTGGAAGTGGGTGTCTGTTGGTCAGATCTCCAAATTATAAGTCATTTAGTTTATTGTGTGAGGTGGGTCTGCTTGATGAAGGAAAAACCAGAGAGAATGAGTGAGAATGAGGGGTGGGAAACGGTTCCCAACAGCAGCAGCCCAAATCCTTGCAAGACAGTAAAGCACGATGGGAGACCAGTGCTCTGAAGCCAGACTGTGGGATTCAGATTCAGTTGTAGGACTGACTACCTGTGTGGCCTTGGGCAAGTTTCTTAACCTCGCTGGTCCTCAGTTTCCTACTCTGCAAAATGAGAGTAACAATAGCACTCACTCCAGAGGATTGCTGGAAGGATTAGATGAAGTAAGGCAAGTAAAGTGTTTAGCACCTTGTCCGGCACATAAGCAGCATTAAATGTGTTTCATCAGCATCAACATCATCAGCATTTTGTGTAAGTCCATCAAGTGGCTCAAATTAGTTTTGTGACTAACCTGAGCTGTGCAAGTTCTTTTCTAAAATCCCACACGGAGGTGCAACCTCCTATGAAGGCCACGGATCTGTCACCTGATTCTGACCAGGGTCTATCCTCAAAGGACAGGTTAGACCCAAATGAGGACTGTAATCACAGAATGTCTCCAGAAATCCAAAAAAAATCCACAAATAAAGCTCCATGTATCAAAACCCTGGGAAGAGAAACATGAAGTCACCGAAAACATTCAGCCTCATTCAAGGATGGGGGCGGAGGGAGGATTATTTGTTTGTTTTTGCAAATATTAAACTTTTCCATTTTCTTATAGCAGTGGTGGTTTCATCAGAAAGCTGGAATTGGATGCCCAGATTATTATGAGACGGGCTGTGGCTTAATCTTCTCGATGTTTTTATATTTGAGAATAAAGAGGCATTTGGCACTTATCTAAAATTACAGCGGCAGAGAAGGAAAAAGCCCTCGCAGGTGCGTGGCTGTGATTGCATACGTACATGTTTTTGAGTTCATTGTGGAATCACAAAATCAAGACATCTCAGAGTTAGAAGAAGCCTCAGCATTTCTCTAACACCTTCCTCTTCCAGGTAGGGGAAACTAAGGCCCACAGGAAGGCTATTAATTGCCTGGCATTACTCAGTTATGACAGCATAACCAAGTTTTCTAGGTAGAGAGCTGTGAAATCCTTAAGCAGGGAGAAGGTGTACCTCTTGTTTTCACAGGAAAATTCCCTCCACCTTGCCTCTCTGGACAGGAATGTTCCCCAGTCTTAATTCTGAGCTCTTGCATCGTCTGGTTCTGTCTAACCTCGCTTTCTATCTCTGCCTCCCATCCAGCCAGCAGTGTCTCCTCCATCCTCCCTCAAGTTGCCTCCCACTTGAGTGGCTCACACACTCCCACTGCCAGCACTATCAGAAACTCTCCCACCCACCCACCATGCTGATGCAAATTCTTTCTATCCTTCAAAGTCAAGTGGGAGGCAACTTCTTCTTTGAAGTTGCTTCTGACCACCGTGGCACTGTGAGCACTGTCAATTCCTGAAACCGAAGAGCAAGTTCACAGTGCAGATCCAAGACTGGAAGAAGTAGGGTGGACGAAAAGAAGCCCCAAGGAATCCGAGAACCCCAAGCCTCCATCTCAGTTCTCCTCTGGGACTTCAGAAAAATTATTTCCTCCCCAAGCCTCAGGTTCCACTGTAAAAATGTTTAGCCTGAAGAGTTGTTTGAGAATTAAATAAAATTACACATGATAGCATACTAGGTACTCAGGTAATTGGAACTTGTATTTTAAAATGCATTATTTAGCTCATCAACATACAATATGCCTTTTTGTTCTACAGTTGGCTCTTACGCATGTGGGTTTTGTCATCTGAACTAGATCATAAGAAAATATAATCAAATTCCATGGGAGCAGGAATTTTGTCCCCTTACTCCCTCAACTACCCCCACTGTTTTGCCCAATGGCTGGCACATAGTAGGTGCTCAGTATATATTTGTTAAATAAACAAACTTTTAATGAAATAATGAGCAAACTTTTCTTTCACCCCCTAAAGAATTCAGATTACAATAATAATAGTAAGCATTATGTTTGTATAGTGATGTATATTTTTTGAAGCATTTTGACATGAAGAAATGTGTTTGCTACTCAGATGCTCCTGTGAGGGAAGAAGACGAGGTGTTATTATCTGCCCTGCTTCACAGGTGAGGCAAGTGAGATACAGAGCTGGAAAGTGTTGGAGATAAGGGGACACCCATTTCACAAATCCAGGTTCAGTCCATTTCCGCACTGCCACACACAATGAGTGTTCATGGAAAGACTGATTAATTTGGGTTCTGATTTTGATCAACCTGGTGAAGCATTTGATGACTGCGTGAGTTCCTAGCTTCTAGAAGAAAGACATCTCTGAGAGTGGCGGCTGGATAAAGGGATGCCCAAGCAAAGAAGCTGGGCATTGGGAGGAAAGTGAATGAGAGAAACTCTTCCTTCAGCAAGACAAATTTGTGCAGGGAAATCATGCTTGGCTGGGGAAGCCAATTGGAAAAGAATGATAGAGGGCCAGTTCCTGAGGTTCATCAAAGTCATTTGTTGCAGGTAAGCTCATTTTTCACAGGCCAAGGGGATATTTACCTGGAGTACACCTTTAAGGAATAGCCGACAGATTGAACGGTACAATGCTTTATTATATTTCACACCCTGGTGATTCAATATGATGGAGGCAGAAGGCGGGGGGTGGGGATGGTGCTCAGGAGGGAGAGTAAAGGAGAAAGGCAGAAGAAAGAGATATGAAAATGTCCAGCATTAGTGTGTACTTCTCGAGCACCCAGGGCCAGCCTCAACTGTGGCAGAAGGCACTGGAGGTGCACAAGCAGCCATGCCCTGTGGAGGAGGCTGACCAGAGAGGGGCATCTGACATAGGTTGACCTCATCCTTTCTTCCCAACCACTTGCCCATGTCCCAAGAGTCCTATTCAGTCCCTTCACCATTTCAGAAATGTTTTCACACAGCTCTTAGATCCCTGCAGGCCTGCATTCTAGCCCTGGTTGTCGCACTATTTCAGCTGGGTGAGCTGAAGCGACACATTTCACTCCTGGGTTCCAGTTCCCTCAACTGTAAACGAGACTCTTCCCTAATTGTCCCTAGGCTCCTCCCAGTTACCTTACATTCTAGGATTCCAAATCAGCCCCAGCAAACCACCTTTACCTGAACACAGGTGGCCCCCTTGGCAGCCCTCCCTCCCCCGCTCCACACCACTTGGCAATCCAGAACTCTGCCACAGGCATCATTGGAAAGGCCAGTCTTGGCCCAGGCTCTGAAGGCAGGAGGGGTTATCCCCTTGACAGTCAGCATCTTTTACTAATTCCCATGTAGGAATTCATCTCAGCTCTCTGGGTAGCTATATTTTTAGCCCTTTCCACCATCTACAAAGTGTCATCCCTTGAGCATGCCACGTATCTTTGTGATTTCCACCATCCTCAAGTCTTCAAAATCTCTATGGAGCCTATCTCATTTCTCATCACTTCTCATCCTCTCACTTAAGATTTCACCATTGCTCTTTGCCCCTAGTACCAAGGATGTACACTAAGGATGGAGGGTGCTTGGGGATGAATCATCCATCACCTCTGCCCTGGTACAAGTCATGGTCTAGAGGACCTGAGAGGGTTTATGCAAATATCTGGCATATGATGTCATTTCCAGTGCCCACAAGGGTGAATAAGTCAAGGGCTATGGGAGTACCTGAGAATGAAGAAAGGATTTCTGCCTGGAATTGAGAAGGTTTCTCAGAGGAAGTGGCCTGGCGGGCTGAGGAGACCTCAAGCAGGCATGGATGTGTGTGCATGAAGGAGTGGGGAACAATCCAGCAAAAGGAACGGCGTGGGCCAGGGAGGGGAGTGTCCAGAGTGGGAGCAGTTGGATGAGTATTTTGGGACACCAGCCTCCTCAAAGAACACCTGCAGCTTTACTGCCCAGGATATGGTTAATTCCCTGTAGAGATGGGCATGGAGCCCAGGAACTCCAGGTACATGACATTTCCTGGGAATTAGTCCAGCCATGGAAACAGCTTTGTTGAAACTCAGGTGGCCAGTGAAGTTGGCAAGCCAAGTCCACCAGGGCATCCCTGGCTGTCCCCCAGATGCCACACCTATAGAATCCAGCCTGCACCTAATTGCCCCTGGACATTCTGGAAACACAGGCTAATTACTAAATGCTTTAGTGACACTGGAACCCAAGCCAGTCCCCAGGGAAGAATCCCTGGGATGTCAGAGGTAGTGTGTGCTTTTCTTTTCTTTTCTTTAGGCATTGGATGGCTCTGAGAGCTTTCTATGTGTCTGGCTCCTATGGGGACACAGTGACAGGAAAGAGACATGTCCAGCCCTCTTTAAGCTCACAGCACAGTTACAAAAGCAAGAAGCCCACAAGAGAGATGGCAAGAGAGTATACTCATAAAAAAGGCAGAGTCAATGACAGCTAGAGAGGCACGGAGCAGATGAAGAAAGAGAGATTTAGGCATGACCAATCTGGGAGGACCTCCTGAAGGAAGCAACTTTGGCCCCTAAGTAATGAGAAAAGAAGAATTTCTGCACCAGTAGTTGTACCAGTCATCTA